CTTTTTCACGGATATATGGTATGCACTCTACTGGTAGTTTTTAGTCCAAGTTAGTTTTTAACACAAAATGTCTGATGTGGCCTCATAGCTTGGTTCTCTAGTTCTTTAGGCTTGAGGAATAGGGAAGAAGGAAGAGGCAGGACTGCTACAGACTCTCTTATCCTATACATTCCTGGCCTCTCCTCTTGAGCCAACAACACTGGATATATTCAATGATCAGCTAATACCTCCATCAAGATGTGCTGTAGTTGAATATTGCTTCTATCATCAGTCATATCTTTATCTTTAATGAGACTAAACAGAAATGAAAATAAAATAATGAGATAATAGAATAAGTGGTGGATGTTCAGATAAACATGTCTAATTCAAAATGCACATGGGTACCTCACAATGCAAGATCTATCCTTGATACATTAGGAGTCATATATGTACCTCAAGCTGTAGTTGATGACATTAATAGCATGGTCCAAGAAGGTACCCTTATCCAGCTTCTCCTCTGCTGATTTTTTGCAGCCGGCTAAAAATTTCAACCTCAAGCCAAGAGCCTTGAAAAAGAATGCAGGGTAATAAGGAACTGGTAATAAGGCAGGTTTAAGATGTCCTTGTCAAAAAGGAGGGGAATAGTCCAGGAATCATTAAAAGTTCTGATTAAAAGCAGTTCAAAGTGTCTTCAAAAAAGTATGACAACTAGCAAACTAATAGTTATCATGAAAAACTGATAATGATGTTATCAAAAATAACTAGCAATACCTCAGACCAGTGGTTCTTGTTGTTGTAGATCACAGATGTGCTCAGATAGTCATTGATATCCAGGCAATGCCTTAAACATAGGAAACATATATTACTTTAGAATGTATTCCTGACCAATGGACTTGCACAGAATTGAAAGTGTATATTAAAAACAAAATTACACACCTCAACATTACAGTAGCTGAGTAGTGAGGGTAGAGAGCATGTAGAGCTAATGTCAGTGATTCCCTTCCATATATAACACCTCTGTTACCAATAAGAGAAAGGTCTGGAAGCTTCCAATCCAAATCAAGGCTGTATTCTGAAGGATTTGACTTTTTAAAAAAAACAATAAAAAAAACAAAGGAACTTCAAAATCATTCATGAGTATTGATATCAGGTAATTGTAGCCAATAATGATCACACCTAGTGTCCTCAGGGACATATACCTCTGGTAAAGAATAGTGATTTATATTTAAGTGCTAATAGTCCTGTTTGTTCCCTTGGGACAGGGGCGGTGGAAGCTAAAAATCTTTGCGGGGGCACTGCAAAAATCTTTGGGGGGGCACTGCAAAAATATTCTGGGGGGTCACTGAAGATTATATTTAACGCTATGTGATAATGATAATGTTTTGTTTGATTGCAGACGCATGCGGCGTAAAACAATGACTAAGAACCAATATTTTGGGGGGGGGCATGTGCCCCCCCAGCCCCCCCAGTTCCGCCACCCCTGTGGGAACTTAAGCCCTTCATCATTCTCCCCCATGATTTATATTAAGTAACAAACAACTAATCCAACAAGATATTAGTATTTTCTGGAGGCACTGGGGTCTATTTGAACAACATTCAAAGGGTATTCACATGGTCTGCACTTTACCAATGCTGTAAAGGACACTGAACCATGTTCGTAAGAAGTGTTAAAATAGACTACAATGGACAACTTAAGATAATACTGATTTCCTGGTATCTCTAGGCTCTATTTGGATGGCATTTAATTTGTAGGTATTTGCATGCTTCACAAATATACCTCTGGTAAAGAAGGCTGATCTGTGTTAGTAAGAAGTGGTAAACTAGACAATACTGCAGGAGAAGAGACTTCCTTTGCTGACCCAATAAGACTTGAATCTAAGCCAAGCTGTGAAATAATAATAATAATAATAATAATAATAATAATAATAATAATATATGGTCTCAATGCGCTTCACAATCATAACCAGTGGAGGACTTAAAAATTGATCTCCAACATATTTAACATTTGATTCAAATTTAATGTCTATTATTTGTTTGAGACATTTATGTTTATCTACCAGTTGGAGTTTGTAAACTAGTCTAGATGTTTTTAGTACATTTTGTAGAGTGTAAAATAATGTAATATGTAATATTTTAATATTGTTATATTAGCAGTACCGTTTTGAAAATCACGCGTATTGTGACATTGGCTTATAATGTTAAATGAATAAAATCATTTATTCATTCAATGCAGAGAGTAGCTGCAATGAATCTATCAAATGCTTCACTCTATGACTCTATCCTTAACAGAGAACAAGAAACATACACTACTGGAAAAAGACCAGTAGTTCCCTAAGATTGGCCTCGGACTGACTTTGAGTATATCTAATTCTACAGCTAGCGCTGCTGATAAAAGATTACCTGTCCTGAGTCAGCCCTTCCCCATACAAACACTTGACCATTAGTATCCATAACAACAGAGAACTCTGCACCAACACTGGCATTAACTATGTGCTTGTCTTTAAGTCCTGGAACAACCTTTGGTACAGGCTGGAAAGGAATAAGGACATACCTAGTTAATAAGTAATATATAAAGGACAAATGTTGACAACCTCATCACTTTTCTTTTGGTTGTCCCTTGCCTCCACCATGGAAGAAAGTACAACTGCCAAAACTATATAAAATAGAGTATGCAATGTAGCACTTGCACCATTGGTAGGGATTGGCATTGATGTACAACATGCTTCTTGATAATTGTTGCCTGTGTACACTATATAYGGTGCATGACTTCAGAGAGTGGCATTTGTTACCTGATTATCCATCTTTTTGCCATGACCCAGTTGTCCATGGTCATTATAACCCCATGTATAGACCTGCCCTGCTTCTGTTACTACCAAGTAATGAAGGTTACCACAATAGATCTAAGGAATAGAGGAAAAAGGTAGTTACTTCAATAGTTAAACCATTCTTGAGCCCTGCCATCTTCCTTCTTATTGGCTCAGTTATGACAACAGGCTGGAGTGTAAGGTGCACCTAACTGTAGCCACCCAACTTATTTTTTACTAGTTAGCCAATCAGACAGAAAGAATTTGTGCATTTGCACGTGAAATCACTCAGCATGACCACAAATATTTGCCTAAGTGATAACCAATTTCATTCCTTTTGCTGGCTAATACTGGATACTTTCGTAAGAAATTTTTTAATTGATGGAAACACTTGGGAGGAAAGGATTTAATGGCATTCGTAGAAAAAATAAAAAGGTGGCCACCATATAGGCACGTCACACTGTAATGCTCTTGTCAAATGGTGTGACCTTTGCTGCAGCACAGGCCAAATGGTGTTTGCATCTCACTAAATGATGTTCAAAATAGAATGTCATATGCTTACCTCTTTGATACGAGAGATAAAAGAACAATCCATTTCCATAGGAGAGAATCTGTGTGACAGCGAACCAGACTGTGAAGATCCCTGGCTGCTTAACCTTTTGGCACGGAATTCAGGTTTCTAATAGTAAAAGATACAAGAGGCTGTCATTAAATAGTGCTACACAGCAATGGTAAAATCTTTTTTTGTGTGTATAAGCTGCACTGGAAAAACTAAGCAACTAGTGAAAACCTACCAAGAAGATGAACTGCGTGGAGAATGAAAGAGTAAATGGTAATAACAGAAAATGACAGTGAAACACACTTACGGTATGTAGTCGGAAAAAGTGTGGACTCCTTCCCCAGTTAAAGACTTTCTGGTTTGAAGTTACAGCAATCTGTAAAAAGAAAGTAAAATTTCTAGTGTGAGGTCTCTCCTTACACCACAACCTGTATGTTTTTTTTGACGGGACTCACTGTTTCAAATGACCCACAGCAGATGAGGCAGATCTCTTCATCTTGTAGGGCTTCTACTTTTCTTGGTAAAGTTTGCTTTTTGTTGGTTCCTAAACCCAGTTGCCCATAAAGACCTGAGACAACATACATGTTTTAATGTTAATCTTTTGATTGATACCTAATACTGAATGACTAAGAGAATCATGGGTTGGTGGGGTATCCACTCAAGCTAGCCTTTTATCCATGCTATCTGGTATTGACTCAAGCCTTTTATCAGCACCAGTGACTACAACAGTTCCTTTTTGGTTCTCTTGAGGGTATATCAAGGGCTTTCTCCTGGTTATCTTATTAATTTCCTCCCTCTTCAAAAATCAAAGTAAATGAATGCAGTTCCCATTTGGCATATGGTGGAGGTAGAAAAGAAGAGGCATGTCCCTCCCTTCAACATGCACAGCTTAATGATTTCTACCCCAGGGGGGTACTCTTGCCCGTTTAGGGTAGGGATGTRCTGCTGAGCCCACTGAACCCTGACCCTGTTCCAGAGTAAAATCGCTGAAATTCATACCCTGTTCCAGAGCAAGATCGCTGAAAATCATAACCTGTTCCGGTATTGCGAAAATGGATACCCTGTTCCAGACAGGAGAGAGCATGATTTCATATGCCCTGTCCCAGAGTGAGCRCGATTTTATGTACCCTGTCCCAGAGTGAGCGTGATTTTATATACCCTGTCCCAGAGTGAGCRCGATTTTATATACCCTGTTCCAGAGTAAAATCGCTGAAAACCATACCCCTGGGATTTCTACTATTTTAAGAGTGATGTCTTTATTAATAACATACCTCCTCCAAATGTGTATGCATGCCCCTAATTAAGAAAATGCAAACAATCATATTATTATTGAGGTTGGGTCAAAGTATAAGTTAGTGGACTACCTACTACCTTCGTCACGATGGCAAATTGTACAATTTCACGCATATAATTGAGAAGCGCTGTTATAATAGCTAGCTGGGACAAGTGAGAGCAATGGGATAAATGGGAAACAAATGGGAAAACTGGGACAAAAATGGTAAAAAAGAGACCACTGGTATACTAGTGTCGAGCATTTCACAGGGATGGTGTATACCTGCTGGAAGTAAACCTTTAGTCAGGCATCAACTAGGAACTCATATACCAGTGAAAACATACCTCTGATGTCAAAACAGCTGTGTGAGAATACCCAGCAGCCATCTGGGTCACTTGTAGATGATCAAGGGAGGTCACATGACTAGGTAACCARACATCCTCAATGGTTCCCATTCCTAACTGACCATGAACACCCCATCCCCAGGCCCAAACTCTCTGGTCCGCAGATAATGCAAGGGAATGGTAATGACCACAGGTGATGGCAATACAACTCTTGTCTGACAGCTCTGTTATGAACACTGGTCGAGTGTGCTGTCTGGTATCACCTTGTCCTAACTTGTAGGTAAACACATAGAAAATGAAAAAGCTTGATAGTTATGCAGCTCACCATTGGGAATCAAGGGTGGAGTAGTGGTAATGCACTCACCTCTCACCTCTTTTGGGATTAAATAGATTTTGTTAGGTGACTCTTCCTTGATTTGAGGGTTTTGTTCAAGGTTCTCTGGTTTCCCTCCCTAGTTCCCATTTATCTTATAGTTGATAGTTATCAACTATCTCAATTTTATCTGTGAGTTAGCCATGTCCTGACTTCGATCAGCCCAAAGGAACCCAGGGTATCGATAAAATTTGTAGTTTTTCTTGTCTGGCAACCATATATATTATATAAAGACAGAATGGTAATGAAAAATACGCCGGGGTTCACCATGATATCTTAATAAGGGTAATGATATAACATTACCATGCAACAACGACAACAAAAGCTTGTCTGACAGAAATATATTATGTTATATTAAGACTGAATGGTAATGCACATGATATCATAATAACAGTTAATGATATAATATTACCACATAATGATAACAAAAGCAAAACAATGTGCATGATAAATCAACAAATAAATCATCAAATAATAAATTGTAAGTACTGACCTGTCCATATTCTGATGAACCCCAGGCATACACCTATGAGCAACATGTACAAATCAATTCTCAGTTCTACAAGACCACATGTGTGTGTTATCAAAATGCTTTGTACCTGAATCGTGTCTAGTGAAATCACTTTGGAAAAAATGTACAAGTTTTTGAACAAAAAATGACAAGTTGGTCCATCATATAAATGGTGTTGATTATCATGGTACAGAGTTAATAACATCTATCATACCCCACCAGCTGCCCAATCAGAACACACCATTATCATCCCGGCATAGTGTTATCAATCAAATCCCATTAATACTCACCCCATCTCTGCACAGTGCCACGGTATGTTCAATTCCACAGGCCACAGATAAAACTTTGATCCTGAATCATAACATCATACAGACCATTACACCTCATTTCCCTGGATGAGGGGATGGGGGGAGGGGGGGGGTGACAAATACTTTTTCATTATGAATCATGATGAAGGTTGATAGTTGGTGATGGTGGTGAAGTTAATGATGTAATCATGAGCTCTAAACCTAGACAATGATGATGGCATTGGTGATGATGGTGGTAATGATGATGATGTCAATGACGATAGTGAAGACGATAGTGACGATGGTGGTAATAATTGTGAGAAGAATAGCAACATTACTGATGGAGCCACGCTAACCTTGAAGTATTCATTTGATGTTTAAAGCTTGACCTGATAGTCTCATTTTGACGCTACACTAATCACAATACAGTTGATTTGTTGGGGTTGCAAGCTCAACTATGATAACAGGTGCTATTATGTTGTGTTGAAGATGATCATAATAACACTGACCTGTGCATGTGAAGTATTTCTACTCTGAATGGAATAGATTTGCCTTCTTCTTCAATCAGGTCACCATGTCCAAGCCTAAAACAGGAACAAACAACACCTTGTGTTTTCAGAAAAAAATCTTGTTATCTCAATAACATATCTCAATGCTCAGCCGATGATGGTCCAATCACGATGAACCTTACTGACCTGCCCTTGTGTGACTTGCCCCATGTGTACACGTCACCTGATGCACTGATTACAGCAGTATGCTGCTGACCACAAGATAACTTGACTTGCTGGCACAGCATGTCTATGGTGCCGTTCTGGAATCAAACAGATTAGTGGAATATGAGCAGAAGACTGAAGGAAAACTGTTTTTATGATCTTCAACCCAAAGGAGAACACCAAGGCAACATTCCAGGGTATAACCATTCATACGATATTTTTAGTGTCTTACTCTTTTTCTGATGTTCATTTTGTTGGAGGAATTTGGATGACCACAAACGTACTGAATATTCATGATCCTGTGAATGAAAAAAATGGCACAATTGAGTCCAAAAGGGTATCTCCCAACACTTTTTGCTCTAAGATCATAATATCAAGCAAAGTCCTAAGAGTTATTTTTCCAAGCATTCCTAGGGTGTTGTTACCTCCATCTGTACTAAGTAAAACTAACCTGGTACATGGATCTTGTTCTTGCTCTCTTTTGTAGTTCAAGACAAGCAAGGTACAGAGGAAAAGATGAAGAAGATCTGAAACATGTGGAAACCTGTGTTCATCCTGAAACAGCCACAAATGATTATCAGTCAAGAATGGTTGTATCATAACAACATAGACTAAAGTATGATCATGTTCTAGTAATGACATTGATTATGAAGATAATAATAGTTATTGATGCCACAGTGCAATTTCTTACGACTCTGAAAACTATTGTAGGATGTCACGTGCCATGACCATGAAAGTACCATGTCGTACATTCTCAGTGGCTGAGCTGTGGCCTTCAGCACACTAGTACTATTGATTCAAAGGATCTTGTTAATCATCAATTCTGTGCTGTGACAATGCCTTGTACCATACCAATTCACATTTATATCTAACTCTTATACCCACCATGGTCAGACTGACAGTACTTTCCAGCGAAATGAGTGATGTAATAGAACTCTCAGAAACAGACCTACATTTATTAACGAAAAAGCACAATTAGCTGGAAGTAAGACCATTAGAAATCAATGGTGGTGTAGAAGTAGGGGATGTTTGGTTTGATTCCACAAATTGAGGTCACATGTAAATTTTTTAGGTTTAATCTAGGGTTTTGTATATAATATGACATACAATAATCTGAATCCAATCTACTTTTAATTTGCTTAGTTACCGGGATTTGGGAAGCGTCTTCAGTTTTGTAAGAAGCGACCGAAAGGAAGGTCGGGAAGGATCCAGAACATGTGCAATATGCACCAGACTCTCCTCATCCAAGGCTATCAAGTGATGTAATAGGAAGGTTAAATGGGACAAGATCGTCTCAGGCTGAAAGTAGAGAGAACAAAAACCACTTAGTTAGAAACCTTCCAAATTTCTCAAGAAATTTGGCAGAAGACACAAAAACCCGCACAGGCCTTACCTTTGTCAGAAGAAAATTGATAGCATCTTTAGGGTCCATACTGTACAAAAATGATCCTAAAAAATGCAGGACAGAATCAAAACCTACAGTACGAGTACATGACGCAAAAGTGAATGATGGCAGAGTCAGTATATTACCATTACAGCTTCTGCTGACCACATCAGTGAAACCACGAGCTGCTAGCTTGTTGAGCAGGTCTGTTGACAGGTGTACTTGACCCGTTTGATAAAGAACTTCAAGTGCTTCAATCATCAAACCACGTGCCTGGTATGATAATTATACAAATAATATACAGTAAGTATGGTTAGTATTACTGATTGAGTATAGTCAGGTATTGTGTGCAGTCAGGCATAACTGAATATCTTACATTTGAACAAGATAGACAAGCAATGTAAGTTTAATTTTGCAAAGTTTAATTGTCTCAGACATCATTAACACTTACATTTCTCATCCAGCTTGTCAAATCCTGTCCAAAAGTCACTGTCGTTAGTATCTTACCTTTGCCACATCAAAGACATGTTCTTTCAGACCATGTGAAGCAAGCAGCTTCAATGCACAATACTCATCATAGTCAAAATTGTCATTGAGAAACTGACTGAAATCACAAATAAACAAATTACTGGAAAACAGACAGCAACAATAGCAATGTCAAAACAACACATGGTAACCAAGGCAACAATATCACTGTCAAAACAACATGGTAACCATGGCAATCAATACCACTGCCAAAACAAGATATGGTAACCAAGGCAACGATATCACTGTCAAAACAACATGGTAACCATGGCAATCAATACCACTGTCAAAACAACAGATGGTAACCAAGGCAACAATACCACTGTCAAAACAACATGGTAACCATGACAATCAATACCACTGCCAAAACAATATATGGTAACCAAGGCAACAATATCACTCTCAAAACAACATGGTAACCATGGCAATCGATACCACTGCCAAAACAAGATATGGTAATCATGGCAATCAATGCCACTGCCAAAACAAGATATGGTAACCAAGGCAACAATACCACTTTCAAAGCAACATGGTAGCCATGGCAATCAATACCACTAGTACTGCCAAAATAACACAATAACAATGCCAACAATACAGTTACCAAGACAACAATATGGTACTCAAGGCAACAATATGGTAACCAAGGCAACAATATGGTAACTAACCATAACATCACCAAACATTCTTATTCTAATCCACCTACCTGAATGCTTCTCTCAATTCTTGGTGTTTGTTAGTATCACCACTAAACTGTAACACCTACAGGTAGATAACAAGAACAAACCTTGGAATGTCTCTATCAACATGACTTGATACGGTACAACCAATACCACCTACCTGCTGTACAAAGCAGTTGAGTGCAAGGTTAGAGAGCTGTTTACGTTCTGCTGTGTGAAAATCACTGTGTTTACTGAGAGCCTAAAATTCATTAAAATATAACCTTGTTATCATTAACACCAACAACTATATTATTTAATCTATATCAAAAGTTGATCAATTCAAAGAAGTGATACAATCCAATTACATATTTCATAATAAAATACCTTGTACTATATGTACAATTACCAGATAAATTGTACTCGAGATCGTGCGATTTCCTATACATACTGGCCATGTTCGTGATTTAATTACCTGCCGCAAATATGTTAAAATGTCTCCAATCCTCTTGTGTTTTGCAAACTGTGCAACTCTTTTACTGAAGGGACACTAAAGAAAGCAAAGAAGACCAGGCTATGAATTTTCCATTGGTCATACATGTTGGCCCACTATCAGCAGTGTGTAGAATAACAGACAGGCATCTTATGGCTTAGGCAGTTGGGCAGACTGCAAAGATTTTCACTAACCTTGGAAAGCTGGTAGAGTTTCATAGCATGCTCATACTTGGATTGATTGAGAGCTTCTTCTGCAGCCATCTGTGCATAAAACATATTGACATCTAGTTAATCAGTCTGGGGTTATTACTATTAATAACTAACACATACTTTATCATCATAATAATTACCTGATACAACATGTTTACATCTAATCCTGTGGTTATTGCCAACATGTCTGCTGCTGTATTGTCTGTGTTGTTAATGGCTAAGTCGAGGAACAGCTTCTCAGGGGACACACTGTGAGAAAGATCTGAATTTAAATACAAATTCCACCACACTTTACAATCTTTTATCTCTGCACTCCACCTCAGCACCTTGGTCTACACTCATAGATGGCACTTGTAGTAACTAGAATACACCCATCAATATTATACACCTTGGTAGGCACATCTGCTAGCCTACCTTGGTCTACATTCATAGACGGCACTTGTAGTAACTAGAATACACCCATCAACATTATACACCCTGGTAGGTTATATCTGCCAGCCTACCTTGGTCTACATTCATAGACGGCACTTGTAGTAACTAGAATACACCCATCAACATTATACACCCTGGTAGGTAGAAAACTATCTACATCTTCTTCCATCACATCAGAAGCTTGTCTCAGTCCTTCCATGGTTTTTGTTTGCTTAAACAAACCAACAACTTGTTCATCCTTTGGCAAGACGAAGGTTTGGATTATACTGGACTCTGCTCTCTGAGAAAATAATGACAATATTGTTCTGGTTAAAATAACAATACTTCAAACTACTTTTCAAATCAAACCAATAAAAATTGCCTTTTATTCTACCTTACCAGCTTGAAAATTATTTTCTTACTACAAGCTATTAAATGACTATATATTCATGAAGAATGTAGTGCGTCAATTATTAAAGTCCTTAAGAAAACAGATTGTATTACTCAATGATATACTGTACCATTACTTACATGTGGTGAACGTGGAACAGATTGTGATGTTTCTGCAAGCTGACTGGAAATAATACTAAGTGATGTCTACAAAGAAGAAATTAAAGACATAACTAGAGGTCATTTGTACAGTTTATACCATAGAATGATTCCCCTCTGATCTATTAACTATGTTTATACTCATCAACTGAAAACAATATTTTTTAACAAGAATCACAGAATGCAATACTAAATTCAGAAGTCAATGCTCGTGAAGAAAGAAAAATTCTCCCTTTACTTTAAATTGATATTATTGAATTCATCTCATAATATAACTCCACCACACATGGTTTTAGAGCCGATTTACCTTCCCCTGGTTATCATGTACAACACAAAACACAAGACGATCAGTAAGAATGAATTGTGATGTTCCAGAAGGAAGTTGATAGATGAACATGGGAAGGTGTTCTACATCTGTATCATACACCTGTAGTGAGAAAAGTGAAAAGAAAATTTGTTTTTAAATCAACCATGCATCTAGAGCTGTGTATCTAAGCCTGATATCAGAAGTAAAGTGGCAAGTGAGGCTAGACCATTACTCTCTATTTCCATATTACAATAATCATGATAATAAATATAAAAGTAAAACAACGTTTTCAACCACACATGTACTCCTTTTGCCACTTTTTAGGGTTCATGGCAGTCAGAGAGTCTAAGAAGGTTGAATGTGTTTTTCTCTCAATGGTTATTCATTTTTAAACACAATTCTCTTATGTCATAATTACAAAAGGTGTACAGAAATGCACTGTATTAACTTACCTGTAATATATCTGTGCGCTGGTTATGTGCTCCAATAAACACTTGGTTCCTGGCATGTTGAACAGAAAACTGTACCTCTCCCATTGGAGACTGAAGATATGAATAAAGATTAGCATTAACATGTATATACATGACTGTACAACATGCAAAGTGAAAAAATTCTTTATTTTAAGATTAAAAAGATATGTCAGTAAATTTAAAGGTTAACTCTTATCAATAAGAGCTAATGCTTATATGTTTACTTCATTTCCTCTCAAAGGAATCAAAAATGATGTTGGAATAAGTTTGTGAATTTGTCATAAATCATCATGATTCTCTAATGTTCTTAAGGTTAAAGAATAGTGTCATATTGCATACCTTGACTGGCATTGGTTTGAGTCTATCTTGCCATTCAGTCACAGCCTGGAAACTCTCCAGAGGAATCCCCATCATGCCGACCATCTCATACCCCAAACCAGAAGCCACAGAGGGACTGCTCATCTGATCAATTGATCGGTGCCGCTGTGGTAATGACTTACTTTCAAGTACTAACTGCCAGGTCTCCCCTGATGCTGTTCCTATCTAGGGTACAAGGTGATGTAACATATAAATTCCAATTCAATCATGGAGCAAGGTTTGTTAGAAATAGAAATAATTTAAACATGCAGTATTTACCATAACTGAGGTAACTTGATGCTGTTTATCTTGTAATAACTCCAGCGTTGAGATACTCTCCTTCAGATCCACAGATAGCATGGCGATACCTTTACACAGATCCACAAACATCACTTCACCAAGCTACAAGTAGAGGTTCAATCAGCATCAGTCTGTATGAAGATTATCTCTTATATCATACAAGATTATTACTTACCTCTGTTCCAACAATACACATCTGGAAGTTGTCCTCTGTGTGCCACCAGATAACGCTACAAGGCTGACCTAGATATCCAATATTTGATAAAAATGAATGAATGGATGAATATATGGATAAATGGATAGATAGATAGATAGATGGATGGATGGATGGATGGATGGATGGATGGATGGATGGATGGATGGATGGATGGATGGATGGATGGATTGATGAATGAATGGACAGATGTACAGATGGAATGAATGAATGAATGAATGAATGAATGGATGGATGGATGGATGAATGAATGGACAGATGTACAGATGGAATGAATGAATGAATGGATGGATGGATGAATGGATGAATGGATGAATAAATGAATGAATGGACAGATGTACAGATGGGATTGATGGATGGATGGAAAGATAATGTAATGAATGACGGATGTAATAGATGGATGAATCAATAAATCAATGATTGCAGAAGCTACTATGTCTTACTTCTTCTGCCATTAAATTCAACTTGAGTGATATCATCCAGTTTCCATGGACAGCTTTTTGGTGACACTCTGCCTTCGACAGGGACAGAAGTGATTACCGGAACAATGTATAGGTTTGTATCCATACACACACACACAAGCCAACAGCCACTCAGGTCTAATGACATTGCTTTTATGGCTCTTTTTGGATTCTAAGTACAAATAATCATCCTTGATATTAACACATTTCCCCTAAATTTTGGGGAACGTTAATCAAAATAAACTGCGAGTTCAAATGACAACAAACAATACCTGAAACCAAGGTATTTGCTTGGTAATGGGTACATCATCTGCACAAACACTCCATACAAGAAGACAGCCTGTGGATTGCAACATGAAGTTTATTGTCAGTACTTCATCATCCTTAACATAACAAAAGCAAAAGTGGCATAGCTTACCGCTAATTAATGGTCACTCAACTTATCGCGTCTTAAAAAGGAGCTATGCTCCAAAAATGTTTACATTTACTTTATGTTAAACATTTTACTAGCTTATAAAGAGATAATAGAGAATATCTCTACAACATAAGCTCAGTTGTGCCTTCAGCAAATAAATCAAACTGAACTACAGATGTTATTAATGGATAAAATCTTACCATTACTGCATAACAATACCATTAGACACCCATACTCATCCTCATACCAAACAGATACTTGAATGAATGGCTGATTGGAAGTATTCACTAATGAGAACAAAATAAATACAAATTTCAATTGTCACAGCTGGAAAAAATGTTTTCAAGAGTTTAAAAGAGAGTAAAGTTTTGTTTATCCTTTCCTGAAAATACAGCGATATTATATTTGCATTACTCACATCTAGTGATAGATTGTTCTGGTAGCTGTACATTAGTTCTTGGACGAACCCTTAACATGTGAGCCAGCTCAAACAGCTCATAGTTGAAGGACACCACATTCCCTGGTGAACCTTCCCGCCCCTTGAAGGACCTGGACTTCGGACTAGACATCCCGTGCGACAACGTGTTAACCAAAAATCACTTCATTCTAAAGCAGAACTTGTATTTAACCAAATGCAAAACGCTAGAACTATGAAGCGATAGATTAAAGAGTTMAAAATTCACGACCAATTATACACTTCCGCCATGTTGTTTCACTTGGGCAGCAAATATCAACAGGCGTTACTAGTTGGTGCTAGAGAGAGACTGCTCTCTAGTGTCCAGTCTTTATCGGAATCAAACAGAAGAACCCTATATCCACGATATCCACGTGGCCGGCAACATGGCTGGTGTCTTACGACATTTTTTAGAGCATTTGAGCCCTGATCAACTTTTAGAACTATTATCTCGATATTTGGCGACACCAGAATCAAATCGTGACAGTGAATTTTACTTGTCTTTGAAATCGGTTGTCATAACATTGAAAGAACAAGACAAACTATTGGATGATTTGGTGTGTCGTGTTACCCGAGAATTATGCCTTCCAGTAGTTCGATTTGGAGATTCACACGAAAACAGGCACGAAATACACATTGTATACGAAATCACAGCACTCTGTTGTGCATTTGGTCCGAGAAATCTAGTCCAAGAAGTTGCTAGTCTATGTTTAGAAGGCCTTTCAAATCACTCCAAAGAAATAACCACCCAAACTGGGCTTCCTGTGGTGGTATGTGTTGATTTTATCAGCTACTTGATGAAGGATGATGTCAAGCATGTTGTCAGTGAAGATCTGAGAAAAGAAATGTTTGAAAAGTTGTTGGCTGTATTTAATGATTCTGATGAGCTGATGTGCATGAAGATTACTAGTTCTGTTCTTCCTCTATTTTTATCTCTTGATACAGCCGAGGGACAAGAAAGGATACGTGTAAGTAACTACGAACCAACAGGGTTTGAGAGCTACACCTTTTGAATACATTCAGATTTATATGCAAATTTGGCATTGGTGGTGGTGGGGGGGG